CAAAGGCAGGGGAGCGCCGGAGGGGTCAGCGGGGGCTCGGGCTCCGCACCCGCGTGCGGGAGCAGCTCGTTGAGATCCTGACAGCCCAAGAGGGATGTGCAGGTGATGCACTGTGGCCCCGGGAGGCTCTGCCGAGTTACAGCGAGGTAAATCAGCTTGTCCCGTGTGCCCAGGGAAGCTGGCCTTGCGGCTCCCTCCTGCCAGACCCAGCAGGGTCCAGGGTGGCCATGAGCATCCCCTCCTCCCCCGCCGCACACCAGGGCACGGGACAGGCAGGGCGATGTGCACGGCTCTGGGCACAGATGGGTGTTTGGCCAAGGCAGGAGCCCTGATGGCTGCAGGCACCTCCTGTCTGCCAGCGCAGCAGAACACCCGGGGAGCTCAGGACGTGTCTGGGCCCATCATTGGGACAGGGCAGCCTCTTCCCACCATGCACTGTCACGGCATGCAGCGCAGGCGGGACCAGCCTGCCCGCTGCGTGCCTCCAGTCAGCTTTTTGCACAAACTCCTCCTTTGCCTCGTTGGCCCAGAGCCACCGCGAGCACCTCGCGGGCACCCCGGCTGCAGCATCCTGGCCCCTGCCCAGTCAGCACCGCATGCCCACGGGCCACGGGGCGGTTCTCCAGGCTGCACCCGAGCAATACGTCACAATTTGCGTGAGGCAGAGCAAGGTCTCAGGTCCACTCAGGGAAAAAGCCCGGCCAAAGTGCAGCAGAGTCGTCCTTGGTGGTGTTTGCAGTGAACACAGCCCATCTGCCCCGCGGGACCCACCCCGGGGCACGCGCTGCGCCCTGCAGTCACACCGCGCTGCCACGCAGCAGCCAAGCATCACTCGCCTCCCCTGTAATGGCTCCATGACACCGGCAAAGGGCTCTCATTAACAGAATATAAAGTGCAGTGAAAATAATTGATGATCATCTTGTAGCAATTGATTACCTGTCTCCCGCAACGCTGCTTTGCTCATACATTAAGGGGCTGTTGCTTTTGCTGCACAGCCCAGCAGCGAAGCTGAGCACACAGCTGTGGTCCTGCCCGTGTGCCCCCGTGCTGCGGGGTCCGGGCTGAACTGGGGCACTCGCTGCACGCAGGCAGGCAGAGAGCACTGCCTGTGCCAGGGCACGAGCCCAGAGCCGCGCTCTCTCGTAGGTGGTCCAAGGAGAAAGAGGAAGAGGAAGGCTTCCCTGAGGGCCACAAGTTCCTCTTGCAGGTTCCTCCTGCTCCTCAGCTGCAATCTGGAGGAAGCGTCTCTGCAGCCATGGTCCATCTTGAAGCCCCAGTGGGAGCGGAGGTGGGGCTGCGGTCATTCCCATGTGCCCGCCTCTCCCTCTCCCCATCCCAGCCAGAGTGGGCACCCACTGCCTCCCACCGCAGCTGAGCCCGGGCTCTGCATGCCCAGGCAGGCAGCCCAGGCAGTGGGACGGTCGCCTTTCCCTGCATGGGCCCTCCCTTCCCTGGCACAGCACTGGCCTCAGCACCGTGGCCGGGAGCAGCAGCGCTTGTTTGCAGAGCAGCCGCCCCGAGCTTTCGGCCGGAGCTGCACACTCAGCAGAACCCAAATCTCCCGAAAAACCTGAATAAACTCCCCGGGCAGAGCAGGAGCCAGGCAGGGACCCAGATCCCCTCCTCATGCTTGTCACATGAATGAGCTCCACGGGAAGGGACTGTGCCACATTGCAGGGAGGATTAGGCTGTTTCGGGAGGCCAGGAGCGTCTGAGCATGCGGGGTTGCCCCCTCCGCTGCCCACCCACGGCACTGTGGGCACCACAGCAGGAGCTTCCCATCACATGGAAAGGGGATGCAAGCCCAGGGCACCCGCAGGGCTGGGGTGCACTTGGGTAGCCCCCAGCGAGGCGGTGGGCAGGTGGAAGGTGCCCCAACACTGGGGCAGAG